AATGTTAAGGAGGACCCGATTCGAAGGGTATCCGTTGTCCAGCGTGCTGGCGCAAGCTAGCGACCAGCTCGCGACGAGAGACCCCGAAGACTGCTGTTCTTTTTCAGTGCACTTGCCCCGCAAAAAAACGAATGAAGTCGACAGCCTTTCACCCGAACGGGCACTCAAGAACATGCTTCACCGCGAAACCTACGCATGGAACGCTCCTGGAGTGACCACTCGCCTCATCGTTGGTGCCGCCGCGGAACTGGTACGGAATAACCACCGCGACGATGGGTCTGTCCACGACCATTTGCAAAACCGCAAACAAATATGGGACAGGTTTCCGGCCCACGTGAGGAAAACACAGCGGGCATGTGAGATTTACCAACACTTGCTTGTACACCACGGATACTCATAATGAAGGATAGTGAAATAACTCCGCGACGTGCTAAAGGGCCGACGCCGCCACACTTTGCTCTTGTTAGTGCGCGACTCCGGGAGGGCCGAGCATGATATATCGGAAGAATTTGAAGCAACGCAGACCAAAGTAATCACCGCATAAGTAGGGCGGAGGAGTCAACAGCTAACCCCGTGTGGCATTGCTTCCTCTTGTGCGACCCCGGCTGGTGCGTCCAGAATACAGTACCGAAATTTTTAACGGTCGACGGCCAGAACCAAAGTGACACCAAAAAGAAAACCAACGATAAGTGGCCGCTCTCTCACAGATAGATCCACGCATATCCCCTGCTGATCCAGACGATAACTGTCTCCCACCACGCGAGCTTCCTGTGGCCGTTCGTCACGTGGACCTTGGCGAGGAGGAACGTCAGAAGACTCGCCTACAGCGGTAGCAGCACCCGAAACAAGGCATAAAAATGCCGACAGCGTCGCTAAACAGATGCTACTGGCGAGCGCATGCGGGAGTGACCAGATTCGCGATTTTGAATAGTATCTCCGTGAGAAAAAAAAATGGCTGTTATTGGGCCAACCCTCGCGGCCTATCTCCCCTGTCAAGCTATAAAGCTACCACAGAGCGCACATGGGTTTAGTGTGCGGTAGTGCCTTCCTTGGTTTTTCGGAGTCATAATTTAAAGATGTTACATACCGAGTTCATCGTACAGTCATGGCGCATTCCGTAGCGCTCTGCTGAGCGACATGGGGCGAGAAAAACGGGTTGATACGTCGTGCATCAATGACATCATCGGGGGTACCGTGTGTGTGGACTCTGAAGAACATTCGAACCACATCTAAGCCGCTTTGGACAACCGACCGTTACCCGAGATGCATACGTGACAGGGCAGTTGGATTCACCTGAGGACGTAGCGGGTACTTAGTGGTGGTGTTGACCATTGCTTGTGTGCGCGAATACCGCTACACCTTGCATGGAACACAAGAACGAGAGAAGAAAGGGAAAGTTCCCCGCCACCACCCCCGACTAACCATGCCTACTGAAAGTGAACGTCCAGAAAAAACAAACCCTCCTAACGGTCAAAATAGCTTCGGAGGAAATTTCTGCCTGAGCTTTTACCCTTTTATTCTTCGAGCACCGCCCTGGGCAACAAGTTTTTTGCACGCGAGGCCTTTATTCTCATCAGCATAAAGCGCAACTGCCGAGGGTTTCTCGGCTTGTTTCTCGATACGGGAGCTCGTCGCACGCGAGGCGATTCTCACGAAAGCGTGTAATAACTGTTGATCAGCTTGTCGTTTCTCTAACTCACGTCGTAGAGGAGTATCATGGACACCAGGACCTTGTGGGTCGCCGTGCAGTTTGCCTCTGTCACGGGTAGCGTGTATTTGAACACTGCGGCGACGCCCGTGATGACCGACACGAAGTGCGTAACAAGCAGCGTAATATGAAGGAACCTGCAGTGCAGCGAAACGGTCACAATGGGGGGTAAGGTTAATGGCTCACGTCTGGCCCACGGGCCTTTCATGGGAAAGGGCTCAAATTGTGCGACGATAGTTCTTGACGGCGCACGCACACACATGACATGGAAGACACGTGCGGTTTCCTTCTGTTACTTCCACGGTACCTTTCTCTTATCCGAAGAGTAGCGTAGATTCCCCCACGACGCTCGATCACAGGTTCCCAGATCGTGGCCTTTCGAAGAATTTTGTGTTTTCAACTTGTCATTGGTAGATGCATGTAAAAAAACAAGGGCTTCCTTCGTTAATTTCTCCGCGGTAATTTTACGGCGGAAAACCACGGTAGCTTTACCGTTTCCCGTTATCCCGTGAGACATGAGAATTACCGTTAACGCCCAAACCGTTAACGAACAAATTGAGTTTTTCCATTACCGTCCAAAAGTTTACCGCGCAAAAATCGCTTGCCCCGTGCTTTCGAGTTATCACGGAGTAAATTTCCGTGAGAACAAAAAGATCCCAATTACCGCACAGAAACACCAAGTGCGTTTCCGCACCTTATGATAAAGTGACCGCCGGCTCTCTAGGCCAGCAGGTGGGTCTGTCCGCCCGTGGGCCTCCCGAAATCAAGGGTTGGGTTCCCACTTTTTCTTACTTCTGTGTCACATCTTTTCTTTTCCTTGGACTTCTGTTCTTTCGGGGAATGTCTTGTTTTTTGGCCGTCCAGAGAACGCTCCTTGTTTATTGTACAACTGATACCGTAGTGACCAGTTACCGTACAAAATGCACATTTCTGTGCATTATCGTGGTGGCTGGTTACCGTGCATGACAATTACCGTGGTGACCAGTTGCCGTACGGAATTTACCGTGGTGGCCAGTTATCGCCAAAAATTACTGTATTGTTCCGTGGTTTCTGGTTAACGTGGGAAATGATGCCGACATGAAAAACCGTTAACGAAGAAAGCACTGAAAAAAAAAACACACACACACGACGTTGGACCCTACCTAAAGCTCTTGGCGACAATCGTCTAACGTACGGCGTTGCCTGGCTGGCTTCACACCTGACTTGCGGAGAGCCCGCGCTGTGTGTTCGTGCCCTGACGGTCCTGACGGCATCGCTTGGGGGCAATGATGGTGGCCCCACACCCTGGGACGATGATGACGGCTGCTGCAGGCTGTGGGCGGCCTTAGCGGCACGACAGACGACGCTTTTGTACCCGCGGATATCTCGGATGGCATCGATGGCGAACAGGGTCCTCGCCAGGATCAGGGAGAGCGTGATCAACAGGATCACTTCCGCGATCATCGTGCTTCTTTTGTTTGGGGGATACGATTGTCACCGCCTGTCGCCTGCAGTCGGAGAGAAGAGGCATAATACAACTGTAAAATATTGCTCAATTATCCCATTTCGTTCTACAATCCCGCACGTTGTGCTCGCGGGGGAAGCGATGATGATGGAACGACGGTGGAAGCAAAGGAAAGCTCGCAGAAGGAAAGGTATGCAGGAGTTGTATTTTCGGTTTGGTGCCTGTCCAAGCTGAAGTCACGGGCTAACACTAGCTCATCGGAGAGGGCATGCGAAAGACAAGAGGCGAACGCGACATGCCTAATTCACTCTTCTGTTGTTGGGAAATTCAACAGACCGAACAAAACAAAAAAGGACTTCGTTTTGGGGTTTCCAGCACGGTTCAAAACTTGATTTTCGGGCTGGGGCAAAGCTGTCTCTGAAAAGTATGTTCGTTTTCGGAGGCTTTCATTGTCGATGTCAGAAAACTTGACAACAAAATTCCTGTTTTTGGCCCTGCCAGCAGCGGCATAATTATGCGTGTGTTCGTATGAAATAACTTGTAGTGAATCAGCACATGTTTGCGTTCTACAAGACTATTCCTGTCGTGCTTGTTTACAACAAAAAGGTAGTACTTCCTGATGAAGAACACCTATTGAAGGTGTACAGCAGCACCCGACGAGGCCATAGCTCACGTGTTCAAGCGCGGTACCAAGTTCGCAGAAAGACAAGTGACAAATACCTATGTGAAACCGGGTCCCCGCACAATCGAACCTCCTCCTATGTTTTTGATAAACCGTAAACCGTCGGTCATCAACAGCTACTACTGCTGTACCTGGTGAATCGTACCAGCTTTGGAATAGCGTCGGGTTCGATATGTACCGTAAAACGTAGATATGGCACCCCCCCTAGACCGACTTTCAAAGCTGCGTTGCTCCACAATCCAAGGGAGTGCGGACAATCCCGAGAAGTCTACGGAAAGCCCTCGACGAGATATTTCAAAAGCCACCTTTCTTTTCGGTGTTGGCACCAGCTTGATTGTGGAGCAATCGGGCTTTGACAATCGTTCTAGCCAGGAGGTGCGAATTCTCCACCTCTCACGGGTGGTATGTTCCATAAGTTGTGGGTTGCGCCGCTTTCACCAGGGCGGTATTATCGTCCATATATATATTATCTTAACTTCTACTTCTATGAATACAAGGTGCGTACGTTGGTCTTTGAATGCCGTGACGAAGGCTTCCTTCTCTCAGCAGCCATGCGTGCATATTGTCTAGCCATAAAAGGCTAATCGTACAGGCGTACGCTACACGTCCCGAACTCGGTTGATCCCGAGACAAGCGCACACCGCATACCACACAACCCAAAATAAAAAAATGATTCTTCATCGCGCCAAAATGCTGCCTCGGTGCAACACATTCGGTACGGCCCCCAACCGCCCCAAACAACCGTTCGGGTCGATAAATTGATCCGATCCGGCAGGCAGAGCGAACCAGCGCAGAGAGCGGAATGGCTGCTTGAGTTGCGTGCCGCTTCACTATCGGGGTGACGGACTGCCTGACAGCCGCACGGCTTCTACAGTTAAGAGCCCCACTCACATGGGAAAATCGCCGAAACTAGCACAACATCGCCCGCCACGGGACTTTTAATGCTGATGGATAGTTCATGCTGATGGATAGCTGATAGCGAACAGACACATGTCACAAACGTTACGCACACCACAAGCACACACATGCCAGAGTTGTATTCCGCAGCACCCCGAACGACTTGTATGTGCGTACAGTCGGGGGTACCTGCCCGGTTTGAGAGAGTAGAGAGAAGCTAAGCAACGCGACGTAGATGGCCAAGGCGGGGCTGAAAAAACGCAACACACATGGCGAGCTTGACTGCATCCAATGCTGCGGCGTACTCACACCACCAAGTTTTGCGTGCAACGGTGCACAGACTCACCTACACTATCCAGGTACCTAGGGCATGAATTTCTAGTGATGTACCCCCTGCTGCCATGCAATTCGCACATCCTTCGGAGTACACATGTATGCATGTGTACCACAGATATATGCCTATCTCGACAGAATACATACAAGGAACGGCTTCTTCAGATCGTTTCGGTGGCTACACAGGTGGCCATATCTCGGCGAGTGCAGAGGTACAAGCTTGCATTGCGCGGGCGTCAAGACGCCGAAAACAGGCGAACAAGATCGACCTCGGACCAGTCAACGCCAATGATATGGGGATGGAGTGTAGACGCATCGTAGAACGCGTTTTCGTTTGAAGTTGGCGTCTTGTTTGAGAGTAGATGTGACAGATTTGCGTAGAATAGGGTAAGATGTTATCATGAACGGAGATGAAAGGGCTTTTCCAACACGGAGATGTAGCATGGATCAAAGCATTTGTTGGATTTCAGCTTTTACAAGCGGACATCAACGCAGTAGTATTTTAGCAAGCTTACGAACGCATATAGGATACCATCAGGATTGTCATTGGTAAGTTGAAGAGGAGATACTTTTACGATGTAAATGACAGTAGAAATAAGTCCTACATATGTTGTTGTACTTCGTATTGGTTTAATATTCATGTAGAGTATGAGACATTAAGTGAAAGTTTTCTGAGGTACATCTGCA